TCTAATCATACCTTCATATATTATCTAATCATACCTTTACATATTATCTAATCATACCTTCATATATTATCTAATCATACCTTCATATATATGAATTATATGAGGATGCTGCACTGATGACATTATTTGGATTTCTCTTCTAATCCGAACTAGATCCTGCTCATTTTCTATTTTGGATTTCTTTATGGTTTTAATGGCCACCTATAGAACAACAAAATATATAATTAAAAACTGACCAAAATTTCAAGATATATATACCCCTAGAAATGTAATTTTCACAGTAAAACATACAAGTTCAGGTTTTAAATTATTACTTTGATTTGCAACAAACATTCATATAATGTGGCATCAAACCTTAAAACCTGACCATCCCACCATGGGACACTTATTCAACTACAATGTCTTTTTTCTTCCATTTTATATCAGAAGCTATATATTTCCACTTTCTCCTGAAGTTGATTAATTAGTTAGTACTTTCATCAATTTTAGCCTCATGTCCACAGCATGTTCTTACTGAACTTCTTTGGGAAACTTCAACTTTATTTACAGTTAGAGAGAGAAAGACATACACTCAATGTTCAGGAAGCACAAAACAGTACACCAAATAGTGTCAGATGTTTTTGTTTTGTAAAAGAAGAGAAAGCAAAAGAATATCAGCAAAACAAAAGTGAGATACACACTGAATAACAATAGAAACCAGTATTATAAGATGTACGTGTATAAAACACAGACAGTATACTATTACTAGACACATGCCCACTATCCTTACACAGTTGGATACACCAAACATCTACTCCATAATAAAAAAACAATTAAATAGTAAGAAAGATGAAGTGGGTGAAGTATTTTATGATTTGTGACTCCTTTAAGAGTATTCTGTGTTCAAGCCCTAGTTAGGGCAGAATTCATAACATCTTGATAATTACACTGGCAGATTCCAGAGTTCTGTTTTCTCACTTGAAGATAAACCAAGCTTATTAAATCTGACATTCAAACTGGCTAACTGATCTTACAAGTGGCTTATTCAATCTGACATTCAAACTGGCTAACTGATCTTACAAGTGGCTTATTCAATCTGACATTCAAACTGGCTAACTGATCTTACAAGTGGCTTATTCAATCTGACATTCAAATGGCTAATTGATCTTACAAGTGGCTTATTCAATCTGACATTGAAACTGGCTAATTGATCTTACAAGTGGCTTATTCAATCTGACATTCAAACTGGCTAATTGATCTTACAAGTAGCTTATTCAATCTAACATTCAAACTGGCTGCAAGACTTCAAACAGTGCGTCCTGCACATACTGTTAGCATGTACAATGTCCTCTGTAGCCTTCTATGTGGTTGCATTAGTTTTATGACAACAATACTCTTTTAAACTCCTAACCGTTGTTGTTTAATGTTTTAACTTTCCTATAGTTTAACTTCCTTTTATAATTATATATTATCTTAGTTTTATTTTCTCCTATATGATCTAATTCTATGCTTCCAATTTTTGTCTGTATTTCTAAATGAATCTTTATATAATTGTTGAAATTTTAATTCCCCCTCTTGACACCTAATTGTTAAATAAACATATTTAAACCAAAACTTTTGGGATCAACAAGCGAAACAGTCTTGTCAATAAATAACGACTGAATAATTTATCAGAAAAAAATAAACTATTCTCTAACAAGCACACTTGAATGAAGTTTTAAATAAACTATTCTCTAACAAGCACACTTGAATGAAGTTTTAAATAAACTATTCTCTAACAAGCACACTTGAATGAAGTTTTAAAATAAACTATTCTCTAACAAGCACACTTGAATGAAGTTTTAAAATAAACTATTCTCTAACAAGCACACTTGAATGAAGTTTTAAAATAAACTAT